ACCAATTCGGAGCTGCGTAATTGTGTTAAACATAATTTTATTCCTTCTCCAATAATACAGCTATCCGTGTGCGAGTAACTGAGGCTCAAACTGAAAGGTGAAAAGAAAACAATCGGAACAACTAATTGCTACCAGAGAAAAACCTAAAACAGTAATTGCTAACGACGCTGAAAATAATTACATTAAAATATTTGTCTTCATAAAAATTATTGAATGATATTTGAAGTTATAAACAAGATTAGAAATGGAAAAAAAAGAGTCGTTTTCCCCAAATGGTTTGCAAGCCCACGTTTTTTAATTAGTTTTGGCAAATCATATTCTTCATGAATAATTCGAATGGCATTTCACTGACAATGCCGTCCAGGATGAATGTCTGGACAGAATTTAACTTTGTCTAATACGAGATATTTTTCAGTAGTCTGCTATGCGAATTAGATGCGAGAAAATGTATAGGAATAGAGAAAAATGCCTTCCAGAAAATAAAGTATTAAGATACAGGAATATTTCACTAGACGCAAAGAAAAACGTGCTGAACTGTTATGTCATATTTATTTTCTCATACGGCACCGAATGCTAAACAACTCTCTGTGTGATCAGGTTGAGATCATAGACAAAGAACGTCATTTGAAAAATTCATAAACTTAGGGAATCATCACATATGCTAGGCCACAAAAATCTCCTGAGCCGACCAAGCATAGAAATGAATACAATATGGGAACTAGTAATAAGGAGTGCCAGAGAAAAGCAATAATAACCCCAAAAATTTCACCATGACCTCTGGTAAAAACAGGCAATGACAACAGAAAAAATTCAATATGAGCACCGGTAAAAAAAATGAGGCTGAAGACATTAGGTTTACAATACCTAGAAATTCATACACAGGTATCTTCACGGACACATGAAGGCGTGGATAAAGGCGTTATTTAGGTCCAATGACAGGACCCAAACAGTGTGAGTTCAATACCTGGTAAAGGCAGTTGGGAACTTGGGGTGGAGAATTAACTGACAACTGACATCCATTAGACATGGAACGTGGAAATAGAACAGTTTACCCCAGTGCGCGACAGTTCGACATTCCAACCGACTGAAGAAGACCGGACTTACACAGCTTACAACGGCCGAAACTCTCATTCAGTCCTTTAGTAATGGTACGAATATCCATATTCTGTCATCCATCTTCAAATTTCATTCAAGAACCATTAGGAGAACGTTGGATAAGTTTTTTAAAAAAAAGAGGGAAAAGGGGGAGATCTGGATCAGACAGTTACGTCAGGAAGGGAGATCATCATTTCAATTTAGAGGTAAAATGATCAATTAGAAATGATCCATCTCAATCTATAAGACGTTTGGCCCGCGAGAGAATAGATCCCGTTATGACAGTCCAAAAAGCAGAAAAAAAAAGGAACTGAAAATGAAATCGCACGTGAAACCTTGTGAAACATTGTTACGCCAGGACAGAAATTTAGAAGTTTAGAGAGAGCAAAAATCATCTTGAATAATGTGGAAAATGATCCTGAAATTATATATATATATATATGTATGTGTGTGTGTGTGTTTGTGTGTGTATTTGAAGTTTATTTCAGTCTTTCACGAGCTTTCGATCATTAGCTATGATTAATTAATGCTGAACATTAAATTTTCGTTTATGATCGATTTCATCACGATTTTTGTTGTTAAGCTTGGAGAGTAATTACACATTTGTATTACTCAAAGTAGAGTTCAATATTCTTATAAGAACCTCGGAGGATTCCAGTAAGGTATCTTTAATCATTTATTAGATACAACGGTTCAGATTTTAATCTCACCATTGGAAAATGTTGCTGTTACACGATTTGGACAATTTTGCTTTTACACCCCGTAGATTAATAATGTAAGCCACCGGCATATCTTTATGATGTCAACGACAAGACGATGAAAGAGATTTCTTTTTTTTAGAACCTAATGTGGCATTACGATTATTCTGCCTTGTTTTCTCTTCACGTTTTCTTAATGTTGCCTCATTGTAAATGTATAAATCCTCTCTTTTCCATTTTTGTGTAAGTACTTTTCTTTCCGAATGCAGGTGGTGTTTTCTTAGTAAAAGATTTCGATTATTCAAATGCATTTCTCAATATAATCAATCAAGTTTTCCGAGATGAATATTTATTTTACAATGATGTCGACACTGCACTAGTTCAGCGAACCACACGAGTTAGCGCGTGACGAAGTAAGGGGCATTTTATGCGGATGGATGAGAAAGATAACATTTAACACTAGATTTGAATAAGTTATGATTATATTGATCTGGAAAACATCCTCTTGGTCGTAACAAACGGAGCATTTGTTACCATGCCGCACTCTTTCTACCTTTGACGTCTAGAGATGTAGCTGACAGCAGCGGTCATCAGGCAACGGGCGCCGGATATATACAGGGCTGTGGATCATTTGGTGTCCGCTACTTTAAAGGATTAAAAATTAGATATTTATTTTGGTGGGAGAGTAATTGTGATTTCAGTCTTTCAGGTGGTTTGTATAAACACTGATTACGGAAAAACAAAGCAACACAGAACTGAGCAGTGGTAATAGATAAAAAAGAAAAAATGATTGCTTGATGTGGAGAGATAATTGAGATCATTCTAACCTTGAATTGAATATTTGAATTTGGTGATAGTGTGAGTTCAATCCATTGGACTGTCAGTGCAACCAATAGAAACGGAACGAGAAATGAATGAACTGGAAAGAAATAAGAACTAGAGGAGATATTTCCACTGGAGAAAAATGTTTTTGTTCGGATTTATCTGTTGAAATCTACTCAGAAACAAGAATTTCAGACAAATGATTTCTACAGTATCTGTCTATACTTTTGAGATGAGGTATAATGTATAGTATTTACATTATTCAGACTATTTTCCTCATCTTTCTCGCCATATTTATTACAAGGAGGGCCGAGTTTGAATTCCAGTCGGATCCATTACATTCACTTACGTGCTAATACCATTGGGAAATTTATGAATTCTCTTCTTCCCTGGCTATGGATAAATAGCAATGAGGCTGGTAATCCATCTAGGAGAAATTAACTGAATACACATCTGTATGCAGCCCTAGCGTTTACAATATACGTATTATACAGCTAAAAATTCGGAGTTGGAGCCCCTAAGGCACTTCGTCGATGATGTCCGTCTCGTTTTGGTAGCTCCTTCCAAATTGGATCCATTAGGGACGTGTACATGATGCATGGGTAATATCTTGTCTCCATCTTATCCTGCCCAGGCTTGATCTTTCCTTAGATATGGGTAGGATCAAATCCATCATTGATGACCGGCGGAGGCCTCTGGATCACGGCGTGTCATAACCTTTGAATAGGTGGAATGGAGTACTTTACCTGGATGTAGCGATAGAGCAGTGAGAGACTTGTTACATCATGTTTGGGTAAAATGCGCGTATATGGTGTATGATGGTGTAATGGATAGCGGCTCGGATTGAGGAATAGGAGAGCCGAGTTCGAATTCCAGTTGGATCCCTTGCGTTCACTTACGTGCTAATACCTTGGGAATCTGCTTGTTTTCCGTACACAGCTCTGAGTAAATAGCAGGACAGACTGGGTTCTATAACCTTGGGTGTCAACCGGTCTAGAATCCAAAACCGTTGTGGAGAGGGTTGAGATCCGTCAGGCCATCTTGCCCAAAAAACACCACTTCTGCAGTAAACATTGTGTCTCTACGGGTCACGGGATAAAAAAATTATATCTTGAAAGGAAATACTTTCAAAGATATTTTTTTTTTATAGAAAGTAATGAGGCCTTTCAAGTCATAATATCTAGAGTTTTAACAATGAAAGAAAGAAAAGAAAGAAAGACGAGCGATCGGTATATTTATTTCTTTCTGCAATTGAAATAAGACATCTATCATTGCTGTTCGCAATAACAACTCGGAACGATGACAGCGAGAAAATACGAATTGGTGGAAAAGAATACATCACGTGACATGAACCGTCATTAAATTCAAATATAAAGACGCAGTAAAAATCTATCAGTCGAGCCAAATTGGCGCGATCGATTTGATCGATTTGACTTAATGACGATTTATCGTCTTCAATACAGACGGCTATTGTTTGGTAATAGGATTTATCACTATATCGCGACTTTGATCAGTCGATTTACGACTTATGCAATTAGCTGAGAAATCTATTCGAGCTTGTCCTAAATTAAATTTCAGACGGAAGGCGGGAAATCGTGTCTGATTGTTTCAAGTGATTCGAAATAGATAAAAGATAATAGGGCAAAATAAATGAGAAATGCTCCAAAACTTGATTGGAATTGATTGGACACAACATGGCATATCAGAAACGGTCATTTATATGTAAGATTTATGGAAGGGGAAAATCCAGTTGAAAAAGGTATATCCTTAATTGGCATATTACATACACAGAGACACACACAGAGACACGCATCACACACATTGAAAACAAAAAAGCAAACTTATGTTGAGAGATATATACATCTCAATATCAATGCCGGACTGGTAGGAACATACAAATGTAGATATATATAGATAGATAATGAAGAGATTGAGGTAGATAGATTGATTGATAGAGAGATAGAAAGAAAATGAACATAGATATATAGGCACTGAACAGACAAAGATACATAGTTTTAAGACATTTTTATGTTTATACATTCTTTTTATGCATACACATATTTAAGTAAATACTATGTTTATAACAAACAGTATTAAACAACATTCACCGGCCTGAATGCCCGGGAAATTTTCATAGAAAATATTCGAACCTGTATCCTATACGGAACCGTCATTTAGCTTGACGTGTCTTTAGCCGATTTGGCCACAGAGGAGAGATCGTTTAGCAATGTCGAATTTACTGTACTTGAACCGAACGCTCCTCTGAGGCCAAATCGATTAAAGGCACGGCAAGCTAAATGACGGTTCCGTATAGGATACAGGTTCGAATCTTGTCGGAGGACGAATATTTTCTGTGAAAATTTCTCTTTGTCTTAAAATAATTTGTCATAAGATAGATAGATAGATAGATAGATAGATAGATAGAAAAAAAAACATAGATATATAGATATTTAACAGACATAGAGAGATAATGAACAGACATATATATATATATATATATATATATATATATAGATAGATAGATAGATAGATAGATAGATATATAAAATGAACATAGATAGATATAGATAGATAGATAAGGAACAGACATATATGCATAGATAGATAGATAGATAGATAGATAGATAGATATAAAATGAACATAGATAGATAGAGAAGGGACAGACATATATGCATAGATAGATAGATAGATAGATAGATATAAAATGAACATAGATAGATAGAGAAGGGACAGACATATATGCATAGATAGATAGATAGATAGATAGATATAAAATGAACATAGATAGATAGAGAAGGAACAGACATATATGCATAGATAGATAGATAGATAATGAACAGACATAGATAGATGAATAGATTATGGACAAAGATAGATAGATAGATAGATAGATAATGAACAGACTGAGATTGAGATCATGCAAAAACCTTCAACAAACAGAATTTCCTCAATAGAAATATGAATAGATATGAATATGCAGTCAATTATTTTCAAAAAATCAACCAACAATAATTTTGCGATGAGAAGCCCTAACAATGAACATATCTTCTTTTTCAAAACTTCAAATGCATGACTGGAAAACCGTTTTCGAGAATATTATGTCTCTTCCGTCATGTGAAACAGTTTCTAATAAAGCACATGTCATATCCAGTAAAACTATTATGATTAAAAATAAGTATATCACTGTCTATTACCGACTGGCTGCTCGTTTCAGCATACGAACTTCTGATATCTTTGCGAGGCAATTCATATTACAGACGCCTGTTACGTTACTTTTTTTGTTTCTTCGATAAGTAAACAGGTAAATGTTATTTACACAGGCGTAAAATAGATTTGGCTCCTATAGCCTTGGACGACAACCAGACGAGGAGAAAGGGTACTCTAAATTCAAAAGATGAGGTGGGTAGTTTTAGGACGTAGCGGCACGGAGTTGAAACACTTGTTCCCGCATGATCACTAAAGTTAAGCAACGTCGAGCCTAGTAAGTAACTAGATAGGAAACCGTCTTTGAATAACAGGTGGTGTAATGGTTCAGAATTGTTAATCGGAGAACTGAGTCTCAATTCTATTTGTGTGTGTTATATTCACTTTTGCCCGAATACCCTTGGGAAAGGCATGGACCCAGCTTTTACGGCTTTGTTAGAATTACTAAATCATTATTATCAAAAACAAAATCTTACAATCTAAAAATATTTTCTGGCTTTTATTTAACTGCCGTAGAAAACGAATCAATCAACAGATCTCTAAAATCAACTATTTCAAAAATCTTTGGCCGGCTAAATCATATCTGACGACTGTCTGTCTCTTTTGTTCTAAATCTGAACTTTGGGACCCTCATATGTCGAAAGTCAACGGGGTGGGGTTGGGGTTTTATCCATAATAAAGCTGGATCAGACGATGATTCCCCGCACTCGAATTCTGTGAAGGACCCATTTTCTTTATTAATTTTCTCGATTACGCAACCCGGTCTCGTAATAAATGCTATATAAAAAAACAAAAAAAACAAAAAAAACGCTGTTATACGCTCCGGCCTTCTTCAGGTGCTTTGAATTAACGAACTGAACCTTTTATTTCGTCCAGCGGGTAAGCTTGTTCTAGTTCCACGTGCCATTCCTCTTCTGGATGTCTTAGTTATTTCCCTTTAACTCAAAGCTCCAAGTTTTGTTCACTACTGCACCAGGCAGTTATTGAACTCACAAGTCACTGTATCTAATCAATGCTTTTATCCATTGAGTCATGTGTCGATATATCAGGTCATCCCTTAAGTTCTGTCCGAATTTTAACTTTTTGCTAAAATGAACGAAATTTAAAGAGTATTTTATAATGTCTAATGGAGATGAACATTATTTTTATGTTTAGATGCATTTAAACTGATCAAATTTTATTTCAGAAAAAAATAAAATAAAATTTTGTTTGATTAAAACCCTGCTAACATGGAAGTACCCAAGAATCATTTGAGGCACATAATTAATTGTGCTACGGTCATTGTCTAAGTTGGATGTTACTCCAATGAAGCGTAATAAAATTGTAATGAACACACTGGCAAGACTTACCAATGTGCAACTCAAAGTACTAGATTGTCCCTGAAACTTTCCTGATCTTTCGGGAATCTGTATTGAATCTGAAAGGAACGACTTCTTTGAATAGACATACGAAATATTAACAAGTGCACTGGTTCGTTTTTCATGGGAAAAAGAAAAAAAAGTAAATAGTAACGGAATCATTCCTTTTGTTTCAATTAATTTTCTCAACCTGTCCACTCGCATTCGAGGATACCTGTCTTCTTTCGTGGATAGCCAATCCCTATTGCAGACGCTTTCTCAGGCGTATTTTGTGTTTATTCAACACTGATAACTGTGGTTTGTACTGCAACTATTACAGTTTCTGTGAAAAAGCGTGTTATCTATCGTGATCAGCAATTTGAACACGGCCAGCACGCTAGAGCCCTCGGCCACTATGGTTTGTGAGTTCGTGCTAAGGCAGCTATCAAGTGTTCCGTCTACAACATTTCACTCCCAAGGTTTCCATGGACTTTGGAAAGGTGCCACCCATGGTACTTCGATTTGTCAGGAAAGATACTTCCTGACAAATCAACAATTTGTGATTCGAACCCGGGTTTCATGCTCAGAATTCGAACGATCTAACCCCTCAGCGACATGCCTATATGGAAGGGTGTAATGAGACAGACACACACACACACACACAAAAACAAACACACACACACACACACACACACACATATATATATATATATATATATATATAATTTAAGAAGGAAAAATTATATATATATATATATATATATATATATATATATAATTTTCCTTCTTAAATTCGTTATTGTCCCATCTTTTCGTCCTTCTCCAATATTTATCCTTTCTCATTTCCTTGCCGTCTCCTTCTTCTATTAAAATTTTGCTTCGTGTGTACGTTTTGCATATATTGTCATCACAGCTCATCAATCTGCCTAGACGTCCGATTGCCTCCAGCTAGGTTGGAAACCCGACTGAATTGGTGTCAGGATTCGACCACTAAGCCGTAGGCTTATTTTTTGATAAACACACAGAGACTGAGAGAACTCGATTCGATTTACCGAAGAGTCTTGCATTATTATCGCAAATTACTCGCTAGTGCCCAATAATACTGATATATTTTGTATTGAACCCTCTTTTAAATTAATGATACGTTTATTCGTTCTCAGCGTACCTGGATATATATATCTGGTCTAACGACAAAATTGTCCAAATCGTGTGACATCAGAGGGAAATTGTCCATCCCACTGAATTTTTAATATCTACAAAACCACTAAACTTCATGAGTTTCTTTTCTTACAGGTTTTCAGAAAAGACTTTTATCCATATTGATATTTGTCTTAAGAATCAATGCAAATCCTCTGAGCTATTCAGCTAAAAATGGAATAGTTTAAATTAATTTTGGATCAGCCCTACTATGTTTTCACAAATGAGCAATGGTGAGACAGTCTTTCAGTAATGGTTCCAATGTGCTTAGTCTGGCTTCCATCTTTCAAGTTCATTCAATATCTACCAAGAGATTGGTGAATACATTTACAAAATAGGAAACACTAGAGAGGAAAACTGGATGAGGAGATCACAGCAGCAAGAGGGGTTATCAGTTCAGCTAAAAACATTCTTATTGTTCACAGCAGAGTCCAGTAGTGTTACAAAAAAACCTTGCAGAATTCCAGAAAATTATCTGTAATCATATCTATGATACAACAGTTCAAACGGACAATTTTGCTGTTACACTATTTAGACAAATTTGCAGTTACACCCTGTTGTATTCTGTGCTAATAAGGAGATATTCTTGACAAATACGTTGGATAAAACAAGTGAAGTTTTATTGTAAAAACCAGTATTATAATAAATAAGGTAAATGTTATGCGCCCGATTGTCGCATGTCAATTCTGTAGTGAGTGCTACTATTGGAAGGTCGGTAGTTCTCTGTTAAGTCTGAGTCGTACTTAACAGATCCCAGCTAGAAATATTTACCAGCCTCTCCACAAAGTAGGATGTGGCACAGGGGAAAATATACTGTGGGACAATCCGAGTCAGTAAGCCGGGCCAAAGATTCCACGTAACCCCACATAAACGGGTTTGGCTCAGTCTACCTCGCCGGACGAGACACTGCCCTTCGGCATAGCCTCGTCTGGGTTCCTCTCTACTTGAAAGCAGAGAGTTTGACAGTACAACCGAAAGGATTTCAGCTAGGATATTTGCCAACCGCCCAACTCGTTCGGATGTGGCACAACGCCGAATTTAACGCGGGGTATCCGAGGGTGTAAGCTCGGGCAAATATTCCGCGTATGCCCCGTATAAATCTGGGTCGGTTAACTATCTAACACTCAAGACGAGACTCTGCACATCGGCAGAGCCTCGTCCATGTTTCTCTCTGCCCGAAGGCAGAGAATTCTACTGTATAGCTGAAAAGTTCTCCGCTAGAATATTTGCCAACCACCCAACGCGGTCAGATTTGGGACAAGGTTGAATTTGACGTGGGGTCTCCGAGCCCGTAGGCTAGGCCAAAAAATCCCTGTAGACCCGTAAAAATGGGGTCGTGTCGGTTTAACACCCCAGGCGAGACACTGCCCTTCGTCATATCCTCGTCTGTGTTCCTCTCTCCCCGAAGTCACAGAGTTCAACTATATAGCTGAAAAAATTTCAGCTAGAAAATATTTACTAGCACACCCACAAGTGTAGATGTGGCACAAGGCTGAGTTTAACGTTGGTCTTGCTGGACCCTAGGCCTGGCCAAAAAATCCCCGTAGACCCCGTATAAACGGGATCGGGTCAGTCTAATTCCCGGAACGAGACTCTGCCCTTCGGCATAGCCTCGTCTGGGTCCCTCTCTGCCCGATGGCAAAGAGTTCAACCTTATAGCTGAAAAGATTTCAGCTAGGCAATATTTATTAGTACGAGGTTAGATGTGGCACAGGGCCGAGAGTAACGTTGGTAATCCGAGCCCGTAGGCTCGGGCAAAAAATGCCTGTAAAACCCGCATAAACGGGATCGGGTCAGTCTACTTTCCAGAACGAGACTCTGCACATCGGCAGGGCCTCGTCTATATTCCTCTCTGCCCGAGGGTAGAGAAATCTACTGTATAGCTGAAAATCTTTCAGCTAGGATATTTCCCAACCACCCCACGCGGTCAGATGTAGAACAAGGCCGAATTTAACGTGGGGTTTCCGAGACCGTAGGCTCGGCCCAAAATCCCCGTAGACTCCTAAAAACGACGTCTGGTTGGTCTACCACCTCAGACGAGACTCTGTCAGAGCCTCGTCTGTATTCCTCTCTGCCCGAAGGCAGAGAGTTCAACCGTATAGCTGAGTGTCGTCATTCATGGAGGTGACAGGTTATTCCATTACATCAGACTCAGTATATGAAAATAACTTTAAAATGCATCTGTGGTCTGTAACAATATTTATTTGGAATAATTTTATCGGTTTCACAGTTCTATGATTTTGAGAAATTGAAAAAAAGAGAAGTGTGTCTATGCCATTCTATGTCTTGCATTTAAGTAGAATTGAAAGATTATTTCCGTTTTATGGAAAAAATGGCTTGTATTTCTATCCGTTTAAAATGCAGGCACAGATGTTATCACAGAGAGGCGACTGTGTATTGGTGACAAAAATATTAATGCAAATATAGCATTTTACACTGTCTGAAATGCACACAATATCACGACAAACTCCATTGACCTTTCAGAAGAAATTATATCGGTGAAGCTGGTAGAAAATTCTGTCTTTGGTTTAACAACAATGAAAATAACTCTCAAAGACATTGGCGCCAATTTCTATGTAGCTGCACATTTCAACCAAATGAATCATAATATTGAGAACTTTAGGTTCGTCCTTTTAGCATCTTCATTTTAATGTAAAAATGACGGCAAACTTCAGTTTTGAAATACAGTTTTAAAATAAATACATACATTCTAGGTTTAAATAGTTATTTAGGCATACTCAATAGAGTTTCCAGAGTAACAGTAACTAGAATCCCACTAAAACGCTAATTCAGGCAAACAGCAAAGCCAAAACTTTTAGATTTCATCCGTATTACAACACACGCTTTAATATTCTTCTCTATTCAATAAGACAGACCTATTTTATTTATTTCTCATTGAGAATTCGGATTTTAAACATCTTTCTCAACATTTGTCCAAAAGCCCTCCCTACACGAAAGCCACTATGTTGACAGTGGGTGACATGGCACTAGGGTTGCTGCTGGTGGCCCGTAGTCGGTGGCTGCAAAAAGAGGACCACTGGCGTTGCTATCAGCGGGACACTAGTAGCTTACGTGTAGGTTACAATAAATATTAGTCTTATCGCAAAAATTATTATTTCTGCTTTTTCCAATATCTTTAATTTCTTTAACATTTACCAGCCTACTAAATCAACAGGCGCAAAATAGGCACAGGCATTCATAGCATTCACACACACACACACACACACACACACACACACATATATATATATATATATATATATATATATATATATATATATATATATATATATATATATATATTTTACAAAACACACACCGAGTGTAACATCAAAATTGCCAAAATCATGTTAACAACATAGGATAATTGTCCATCACACAGAATGCTTAATATCTAAAGAACCACTAAAATAACTGAGAAACTTTTCCCCAGGTTTTAAGATAAGACGTTTAGCCATCTTGACACCATTTTATGTAAGAAAAGATGAAAGGTACTTTGAGTTATTCAGCTAGAAAATAAACAGGTTAAATCGTTTTCTTTCATATAACACACCAAAGCAACACGAGGTTCACAATGTATTTTTTAATAACTTTATGCCTGTTCCCATCTTTTTTCTTCCACAAGTAATCTAAAATCCTCCTAATAATTTCAATCATATATATATATATATATATATATATATATATATATATATATATAAATAAATTTTGCAAGAGGATAGAATCCAAGTAGAATTCAATGTCAAGGACAGAGTAATAATATAATAAAAAAGGGTCAAACACTAATAATCCATGTTTATAATTTATTACATTGGAATCGTAATCAAGATCCAATTCATCAGACCTGCAAACTGAAATATAGGTCTGATAAATTGTATCGCAATACAGTTGCAATGTAATAAATTATAGTCATAGAATATTAGTGTTTGAGCCTTTAATCTCTCTCTCTCTCTCTCTCTGTATATATATATATATATATATATATATATATATATATATATATATATATATATAGCGTGTAACAGAAAAATTGTTTACAACATTTTTTGTAAAAATCAATGAAAAACGAGATAGTTATTTATCTAGAATGAGAAGAGGTTAAAATCTTTTTTTGTCTCGGACATCCTGCCTTCCCAAATGAGCAATGATGAGAGAAAAAAATGGCATTCAGGCCTTCATTAATGATAACAACATTCATAATCATCTGAGTTCCGCCTTTAAAGTCCATTCCAGATCCGTCAAGAGACCGGTGAATAAGTTTTTAAAAGAGGGACAAGTATAAACTTAAACTAAATCAGGAGGTCAGAACAGCAAGAGGGGTCATCATTTCAACTTAGAGCTAAATATATTCTTATGGCTCAAAGGAAATTCTAATAGTTTTATTAGAACCTTGGTAAATTCCAGTAAGACATCTTTAAACATTTCTAAGATACAACGGTTCAAATCATAATCTAAGAATTGGACAATTTTGCTGTTACACCCGTTATATAAAAAAGGATAAAGGAAAACTTAACTTATTTGACCTGTCACGTTCTCTGATAGACTACATCAAGGAAAATGTAAGGATTTTATTTTACAATGCATATATTTTTTAAACATTTCACCCCAAGAAAAGCGGGATTTCCACTAGTATGCAAGAGGCTACAGGGAGTGTAAGTAAGAATGAAGAGGTGTGTTTGATGAATGAATAAAGGGAAAGATAGGGATCAACATCAAGGCATCAGAAGATATCGATTGACATTACATTTGAATATTTGAAGATTATAGCTATCAGGAAAGCAAGTAAGAGGAAGGGAGATCAACAATCAGGAAGTGCAGGAGAATAAGCTTTTTTATGTAGAAGAGATGAAGATTTAACAGTTTCGACAATGAAAAGGTGGGACGAAATGCCTGTTGTCCATGATGACGGTCGCCCTTGAGTATAGAATCCAGAGGTTAGCAGTGAATATTTTGAAGACAGTAGGGAAGCGTTGTTCAGTTTAGCAGTGGATATCCCGGTAAAGTAGCAGAGCGTAATTCTTCCTTCTGTTTCACTTCGTCTGACAAGCTGACACTGGACATTCAGATAGAGTAAACAAAATGGCCGCCTTTATACACGACGGATTGAATATTCTACGTCTTCTGATTGGTTAACGTTCTATTGGTGGACTATAAAGTGAGTCAAGTCATTTGGGCTAGCTCACTAGTAGATACATATACACAAAAAAATTGCAACAATACCAAATTATTAGTACGGGTAAATTTATGTGGTTTGTGTATCAATGACAATAGCTCCTCAGAGCAGTTGCCATGAAAATATTTGTAGAAAAGACAGATTTAAACCACATTGAGTGATTGTGTGAGAAATTGACTGTATTCGAGGTGCCAGATCAGGACCTATCACACTGCATATCCTTCTTTGGATTTTGTTGAGAACATCGAGATGAACAGCGAGGGCACATAAACATATATGGCAACAGTAAAACAAAAGTAAAAAAATATGACGTTGCATTCTAAAAATTATTAAATTTAAAAAACTGATGAAAATATATGAGGCTCAATGAAATGTTGAAAAACCACCGATATAGCCATTTTGTGTATAAATAATTATTGCAAATTAAGAATCCTTACATTTTCTCTATAAAGAACATCACATGATAAAACGTGTGGGCTAACATAAGATTTCCTTTTGTCTTCATTTATAGTACCCTTTTACAAATCTATTTTTAGTTATATTTGAAATTTTACAAACACATATATTTGTATGTGTGTATTTGTATATATTTCAGAACTATAATGTGTTATTCTTAGAAAATACCAGAGATAACTTGTTAAAATTCGCATCCAAAGAGTTTAACATCCTCAGATAATTAAATACTTCTTTTTTTTTTTCAATAAGGGTAATCGTTTTGCGTTGGACACCTCTAAATATAATGAACAGAGGAAACCCAGCAATGGGGTGAGAGAGTAGATGGAACTGGAAGATATGGTTACAGACAATACTTTCATTGGTTTGCTCGATGCAAGGAATTTAGACAAAATAAAAGACGAGTGATTCGGTTACAAATGTATTGAAAAATTGATGTTTATTGATTAGTTGCTTGTCTTTCAGAGAGTCAAGTAATCGATTATCACGACAAAGAAAAAATATTGATAAAACCCATCTCTACCATTATTTTCGTCTCTCTCATTCCCCACGCCATTACTGATTGGATGACCTTGGAGAATGTTGTCAAAGAAAAGAGGGACATATGAAGGAATGACTGAATGAATGAATTGTTGTTGCTTCCAAAAAGTAAATAAAGAAAGAAAAATGTAAAGGAAAACCCGACAAGAAAAATGAAAGCAACATGAGGATATCATTGTTAACTTTTAAATCCGAAAAATTAAGCTGTAAAGAATAACGAAAAGAGAAAATAGATTTTATATAAACAGAAATCGTCCAGCAAGGAGAAAGGAGAAAAAATATGAAAGAAAAGCGCGCGAACACACAATTGGAACTTGAGGCAGAGGAAATCAAGAAGAAGAAAAGCAGTGAAAATATAGGAGTAATACATGATTATCCGAAATTTTAGAAGTATATAAATGCATTTTCTCTAAAGAGGTCTATCAAATTAAAAAAATGCTCAGTTGAGCATACTTACTTGTTACATTGAATGGATAAAAACTAGGAGAAATGTGTCTTTTACAAGCATAGAAATTTACATAGATAGATAGAAACAAGAGATAGCTCTCTATCTCTCTATAGCTAGAAATACAGAAAGATGTGAAAAGATAGATAGATAGATAGATAGATAGATAGATAGAAACAAGAGATATTCAGCTATCTAGATAGATGGGAACTGGATATTATATATATATATATATATATATATATATATATATATATATATATATATATATATAGATAGATAGATAGATAGATAGATAAAAAATGTGTAGCTATTTATTCATTCAGATTGCTTGCGAGCTGACTAGATGTGAACAGATCGAAGATAGCTAGCTAGATAGATAGATAGATGCGATCAATTGGGATATATATATATATATATATATATATATATATATATATATATATATACCATCTATCTAGATAGCTAAATATATCTTGTTTCTCTGTATCTATCTATCCATCTATCTATCTATCTATGTTTTCACAACTTTCTGTATTTCTAGTTATAGAGAGATAGAGAGCTATATCTTGTTTCTATCTATCTATCTATCTATGTAAATTTAGTAAGTATGCTCAACTGAGCATTTTTTAATTTGATAGACCTCTTTAGAAAAATGCATTAAATATACTTCTAAAACTTCGGATAATCATGTATTACTCCTACATTTTCATATATATATATATATATATATATATATATATATATATATATAGATAGATAGATAGATAGACACTCTTGCATCCGCTTGTGGTGGATAGGTATGAAATAAAGAACAAAGGAAAACCCTGTGTGGCGTGTCGGTGTAGCTGGTTATATCTGTCACATTAAATATTCATTTTCTTTCTCACATATAAAAGTTCTAAAAGATCCCTTGATTATTTCATTTCCCAATTGTTTACAATTTGTCCTTTTCTCCAAACCTCATTTTTCATTTTGGCTTCGAAAATAATTTCAGTGTGCATCAACCTTTCGGAATTTTCTAACTGTTGTTGCAGGATCCACCTAATTTGCATAGTGGAGTACCGACCATATAAATATGGTTGGTACCGGGAAGAGACGGGGGAGGAATCAAGATATTCAATCCAGAGACTCTGCCCGACTGCGACTCAGTCAACACATTCTCCAGGAACGGTCTTCCCAAGAATATACGAAAGACTATATGTAAATATTGTGTACACTTTCTTGTTTCAATACATTTTGTTCTAAGTACATTTTGTGTTGTATTATTATTCCATGCATTAGTCAAGTTTCACCACTAACCTAACTTTCCATCTACATCTTTATTTATTCCAGTCTGGAAAGGAGACGCAAATAGGAACATGTTGATATATATATATATATATATATATATATATATAGAGTGAGAGAGAAAAATGTAAGATAAAGTGAGAGAGAGTGATAGATGGATAGATAGATATGAAAAGGTGCTAGATAGATGCTTTGATGCGGTATGATAGATAGATAGATAGATAGATAGATAGATAGATAGATAGATATAGATTTAACATAGATAGATGGAAATAGATGAAAATACATAGATACCAAAATTTAAGCTCAAAACTGAAAATACAGAAACCAAAAATCAACTGAATATACACGCAGATCTATCTATCTATCTATCTATCTATCTATCTATCTATGCCATTTTTTAATGTCTTTCCGCATGAGTCGATTCAAATGGCATGTACATGGATGTTGTATTTATCTGCTTCTTTTTTCTATCGATCGATTCATTTACTTATCTCAGTTTGCCCATATCTATATTTCTATCTAGAAAATTATGTTTGACGTAGAAGTCATTGCTGAAAGATTAGGTGTGTATCTCTGATTTATTTATTTGATCTATCTATCTATCTATCTATCTATCTATCTATCTATCTGTATGTCTGTCTATCTATCTATCTACCTACAAATACATTTTTTATACTCGTTTTGCAACTTAAAATTTTAATTTTCATTTCCACTTACAAATTTTAATCAGTTTAAAATTGTGTTATTTTATAGAATCCATAATTTTTTACAACTGACTTTTAAAACAAAAATCGACAACTTAAATACATAGTCATAGGTGTTAGCCTATCGTCAAAAATCTCCCATTCTAACAACGTACCATAAACCACAGGATTTAAGTTTCACAATTTATACCTGGAGTATACGGAGGCTTTTTTTAAGCTTATGGTATGTTGGATAAGTTTTACCTTACGTTTCGATTAAACAACGAAAATAACAGAATTGTGTGAATGTAGGAAACACGTTACAAGCATAAAAATACAATTTTGTCGATTAACCACAGTGACTGTCAATAGCCAAATAAAACATATATTATTTTAGCCACTATATAAAAGCTTGTTCCTAAGGAAAATTCTGGTATCAAAGAGGCAAGTGATGCTGCTCATGATTTAACATGACAGACTTTGGTCTTGCAAAGAAGTGCGCTCGAAATACATTAGAAGATGAACAGTTATTAACGCAAAAAAATATCTATAAAAATTTATCCTTATCTGTTAATGAATTATATAAATCTATACATCTAGTGGAATCTTATCGCAATCTGAAACCTTCATATAGCATTTTTAGAGAGCTTTGAAATTCAAGTATCGCCACTCTAAAAATGATATTACACCTAAGAGAAAAAAAAAATATTTCAGAAAACTTGAGCCCTATGTGCCAAATTCATGACTAAAGACTAATTTCTTATCCTTATTGGTGGATGTTGATGCTTAACACTAAGCACAATAGAAGCAGAATATGGGTACACTGCTCGCTTGGCAAGAAAACATTAGCTTCTACAATTGCCAGTATTCCATTACAAACGGTGACTACAGATAATAGTATAGGAATGTAGAATGATAGATATTTTTAGTAAAGGATAACAAGAACAGATGACTAGGCATTATATGCCAGAAGAAATAAATCATAGTTGTTAGCAACTTAGATATTCCAAATTGCAAAATTCTCATTCTTCACTTCAAACTCAAATTTATAGAGAAATGGCGGCAATACTCAAAATGGCGGCTATACTAAATTCTTAGATTTGCTATTGTAAAGATAGCTCAAAGCAGATGGAGTTAGGTAGACTTGTCGAATTATTGGAGAGAGATTTTTTCAGTACTGTTCGGAGGAATTGGTATGTTTTAGAAAAACTGAGAAAAAAAAATAATTTAAAAGTGAAATGACAGAGAGATGTGTTCCTATTCCGAAAATATCACGGGAAATCTAATCTGCAAAATAGCCGTGAAAGCTAGATAACGCTACACAAATGGAGAAGAGATTTCGACCGACGGATATATCAAAAAGAACATATGAATTCTTAAGATTGGAACTACTAGTCAAAATTATTACCTAACATATGAACAATGATAAATATAAGATTATATATATATATATATATATATAACTACTAATCGTAACATATAATTATTATCCTATTAATTATATTTAATCATTGAAAATATTATACATACATACAATATATATATATATATATATATATATATATATATATATATATATGATTTTTTTAATCGCTGCTAATCGTCGCACACACAAGGAAGGTATGTTATCCAATGAGGATTGAAATAAGAATTACTCAGCTTTAATCACTCTAGGAAACAAGTTTAATTCATAATATACATACATACATATATATATATATATATATATATATATATATATATATATATATATATATATATGTCTGTGTGTGTGTGTATGTGTGTGTATATCATAACATAATACTTAATCAAATAATACTAAACATATCAACCTATTATATCGTAATTAATTTCATTCAAACTATAAACAAAATGAAATATTCCTAAATATCTCATGAGTACTAATATATTCCCCAGTGATTCCAGTCAAAAAAAAGTAATTTTTTATTAGAGTAAAATTAACACAACCAACTTAATCATAAGCAATGACACTTTTCCGTCAACTAGCAATTTGAAAAATACCAACATTGCATTTCAGTTTAAATGTTGTTTGAGATATTATCTCTGGCAAAAATTAAGCAAATATTTTGATTTAACGACCACTTCAGTTGCTGGATAGCAGTGTTATTGCACATCATCTAAATATATATATATATTTTTCCAAATTCACAATACAGGAAAATAATTGTTAGCAACACCAATATAGTATACCATGAAAATAATAAGCAAAGAACATGACATTCGTGATGCAGTCTATATAAAAAAAAAAAAAACAACCAAGTAAGCACTCAACAAAATATATTACGAGTGTAGTAGCAACGTGGTGAAGTACATATAACAAACATTTAATGACATTTGAATGCTACGAATTTCAGGTCACAACAAATTCACAGAGGATACATATATAGGAGAAAAGCGGGAAAATATGCAAGAAAGGATAGAAAAGACAGAAAATTAGGCATGGAACCAAAAAAAGAATTCAGAAGTTACGTATACATATCTGAAATGATAATACTAAAAAATGAGAAAAGCATTTAGAAAAATGTAATAGTTATAGAAACTTTAAAAGATCCTGTTAGATTCATAATGTTGAAACGAGTGAGAAATTTTCCACGATCTGAAAAGTATAATACCAAAAAATTTTAAATTAATAATTTGATAGTAAAAGAAAAATGCTTAGAGCGATTGACAAAATCAAGTTTATAAAGAGAAGGATGATACAATAGACATTGTAGAAATATAAAGAAAACAAAAAGAGCAAGATCTTTTCTATTAAAATTTATACCATTTCAATAAATATTTTTTTCAGAATCAAATCCGATTGAAAACCTTGGAAAAAATCAAACATTTTCAAAAAACCAATACTAAAGAATAAATTGCTCAAAATGGTTGATGCAAATTCCATGTTTCAAGCAATTTTTATTATTCGATTTGTCACAGAACGTCCATTTTCAAAGCGGTGCCACCATATTAAAAAGAGAAATAACAATTTTGACATACATTACTAGCGTAACATAGTAAAAGGCTCAACTTTCTTAGCCGGATACATGATACGTGTTTTGAACAGTTTAAATGGATGTCTCTTTAAATAAGCAAAAGAGGAAATGAGTTTACTGAAAATAGTTGATTAAAGGAAAACAAAAAAGGAAAATACATAAAATCGAATGAATCTGTTAAAATGAATGGATATAATGCAATAATGAACAAAGAACAACAGATAAAAGAAAGAAGAAAGAATGAAAAGGAAAGAGAAAAAAGAATGAATATGAATATAATACTGAAGATAAAGGAAAAAAATAAAAGAAGAAAATATGAAAAATATCGGATAGAAAAAATAAAAAAAGAAGAAAGACAAAAAGAATGAATATGAATATAATACTGAAGATAAAAGAAAGAAAGAAAGAAAAAAAATGAATATAATACTGAATGAATATGAATATAATGAAGATAAAAAAGAAAAAAATATGAATAAGTATATAATACTGAAGATAAAAAAAAAAGAATGAATAAGAAATATAATACTGAAAAAGAAAAAGAAAAGAAAGAAAAGAATGAAGAAAAAAGAGAAAAAAAGAATGAATATGAATATAATACTGAATAAAAAAGAATAATAATAAATGAATATAATATCAAGATAAAAAAAGAAAGAAAGAAAGAAAGAATGAATATGAATATAATACTGAAAAAAGAAATGAATGAAAAGAATATAATACTGAAGAAAAAGAAAAGAAAGAAAGAAAAGAATAAGAATGAAAAAATAAGAAAAAGATGAAAAAAAGATAAAGGAAAAAAAGAAAGAATACTGAAAAAAGAAAGAAAGAATGAATATGAATATAATACTGAAGATAAAAAGAAAGAAAGAAAGACGAATGAATATAATACTGAAAGATAAAAGAAAAGAAAAAAAGAAAAGAATGAATAAATATAATAAGAATGAAAGAAAAAAGAAAGAAAGAATGAATAAGAATATAATACTGAAGATAAAAGAAAGAAAGAAAAGAAAGAAAATATAGAATAATAAAAAAAAAAAAAAGAATATAATACTGAAGATAAAAGAAAATAAAGAAAAAAAAGAAAGAAAGAATGAATATGAATATAATACTAAGAAAAAAAGAAAAAAGAAAGAAAGAATGAATAAGAATATAATACTGAAGAAAGAAAAAGAAAGAAAGAAAGAAAGAATGAATATGAATATAAAGAAATAAAAAAAAGAAATGAATATGAATATAATACTGAAGATAAAAAAGAAAGAATGAAAAGAAAAGAATGAATGAATATGAGTATAATACTGAAGATAAAAATAAAAATAATGAAATATGAATATAATACTAAAATAAAAAAAGAAAGAAAGAAAGAATGAATAAGAATATAATACTGAAGATAAAGAAAAAAAGAAAAAAGAATGAATAGAAATAATACTGAAGATAAAGGAAAAAAAGAAAGAAAGAATATGAAAGATAAAAGAAAGAAAAAAGAAAGAAAGAATGAATATAATACTGAAGATAAAGGAAAGAAAGAAAGAAAGAATGAATATGAATATAAAAAGATAAAGGAAAGAAAAAAAAAGAAAGAATGAATATGAATATAATACTGAAAAGGAAAAGAAAAGAAAGAAAGAAAAAATGAATATAATGAAAAAGAAAAGAAAGAAAGAAAGAAAAAAAGAAATAAAAATGAATGAATAAGAATATAATACTGAAGATAAAAAGAAAAATAAAGAAAATAAGAATAAAGAATATAATACTGAAGATAAAGGAAATAAAGAAAGAATGAATAATATAATACTGAATAAACAAGAATAATACTGAAGATAAAAGAAAGAAAGAAAGAAAGAATGAATATGAATATAATACTGAAGATAAAGGAAAGAAAGAAAGAAAGAATGAATATGAATATAATACTGAAGATAAAGGAAAGAAAGAAAGAAGAATGAATATGAATATAATACTGAAGATAAAGGAAAGAAAGAAAGAAAGAATGAATATGAATATAATACTGAAGATAAAAAAGAAAGAAAGAAAGAATGAATATGAATATAATACTGAAGATAAAAGAAAGAAAGAAAGAAAGAATGAATATGAATATAATACTGAAGATAAAAGAAAGAAAGAAAGAAAGAAAGAAAGAATGAATATGAATATAATACTGAAGATAAAAAAGAAAGAAAGAAAGAAAGAAAGAAAATAAAGAAAAGAAAGAAAGAAAGAATGAATGAATATATGAATATAATACTGAAGATAAAGGAAAAAAAAAATGAAATAATACTGAAGAAAAGAAAGAATAAAAGAAAAATGAATATGAATATAATACTGAAGATAAAAAAGAAAAAAGAAAAGAAAGAATGAATATGAATATAATACTGAAGATAAAGGAAAAAAAAAAGAAAATATGAATATAATACTGAAAAAAAAAGAAAAGAAAAATGAATATAATAAAAAGAAAGAAAGAAAGAATGAATATGATAAAGGATAAAGAAAGAAAAGAAAAATGAATATGAAATAATACTGAATGAATAATAATAAGATAAAGGAAAGAAAGAAAGAATAAATGAATATAATAAAGATAAAGAAAGAAAGAAATGAAAGAAATAATACTGAAGATAAAGAAAGAAAGAATAATATGAATATAATACTGAAGATAAAAAAAAGAAAAAAAGAATGAATAATAATATAATACTGAAGATAAAGGAAAAAAGAAAAGAATAATAATAATGAATATGAATAATAATAATAAATACATAAAAGATAAAGGGAAGAAAACTAAGAATGAATAAATACTGAATATAAAAGTACTGAAGAAAAAAGAAAGAAAAATAAAAAGAATGAATATGAATATAATACTGAAGATAAAAGAAAGAAAGAAAAATGAATATAATATAATAAGGAAAAAAAGGAAGATAAAGAAAGAAAAAAGAAAAAAATATGAAATATGAATATAAAAAGAAAGAAAGAAAGAAATATGAAAATAAAAAAAATGAATAAGAATGAATATAATAAATTGAAGATAAAAGAAAGAAAGAAAGAAAGAATGAATATGAATATAATACTGAATATAAAAAAGAAAGAAAGAAAGAATGAATAAGAATATAATACTGAAGATAAAAGAAAGAAAGAAAGAAAGAATGAATATGAATATAATACTGAAGATAAAGGAAAGAAAGAAAGAATGAATATGAATATAATACTGAAGATAAAGGAAAGAAAGAAAGAAGAATGAATATGAATATAATACTGAAGATAAAAAAGAAAGAAAGAATGAATGAATAAGAATATAATACTGAAGATAAAAGAAAGAAAGAATGAAAGAAAGAAAAGGAAAGAAAGAAAAAATGAATATATAAATACTGAAGATAAAAGAAAGAAAGAAAAATGAAGAAAGAATAAGAATATAATACTGAAAGAAAGAAAGAAAGAATAATGAAGATAAATAAAGAAAGAAAAAAGAAAGAATGAATATGAATATAATACTGAAGATAAAAAAAAAGAAAGAAAAAAGGAATGAATATGAATATAATACTGAAGATAAAAAAGAAAAGAATGTTGAATGAATATAAGATAAAATAAAGAAAGAAAAAAAAAACAAAGAATATGAATGAATGAAAAAGAAAAGTAAGAATATAATATAATACTGAAGATAAAAAAGAAAGAAAGAAAATGAATAAGAATAAAGGAAAGAAAGGAAAGTAAGAATGAATATAGATATAATAAAAGATAAAGGAGAAAGAAAGAAGAAAGAATGAATATGAATATAATATCTAAAGAAGACTGAAGATAAAGAAAGAAAAGAAAAAGAAAGAATGAATATGAATATATTACTGAAGATAAAAAAAAGAAAGAAAGAAGGAATGAATAAGAATATAAAACTGAAGAAAAGTGAAATGAATATAATACTGAAGATAAAAAAGAATGAAAAAATAAAATGAATATTATGAAGATAAAAAGAAAAGAAAGAAAGAAAGAAAGAATGAATATGAATATAATACTGAAGATAAAAAAGAAAGAAAGAATGAATGAATAAGAATATAATACTGAAGATAAAAGAAAGAAAGAAAGAAAGAAAGAATGAATATGAATATAATACTGAAGATAAAAGAAAGAAAGAATGAATGAATAAGAATATAATACTGAAGATAAAGGAAAGAAAGAATGAATATGAATATAAATAAATGAAGATAAAGAATGATAAATATAATATGAAGATAAAGAAAAAGAAAGAAAGAATGAATGAATAAGAATATAATACTGAAGATAAAAGAAAGAAAGAAAGAAAGAATGAATATGAATATAATACTGAAGATAAAAAAAGAAAGAAAGAAAAGAATGAATAGAATATAATACGGAATATAAGATATAATGCTGAAGATAAAGAATAAGAAGGAATAATATGAATATAAACTGAAGATAAAGGAAAGAAAGAAAAGAATGAATAAGAATATAATACTGAGATAAAAAAAGAAAAGAAAGAAAGAAAGAATGAATATGAATATAATACTGAAGATAAAAGAAATATGAGTAAAACTGAAGAGAAAAAAGAAAGAAAGAATGAATATGAATATAATACTGAAGATAAAAAGAAAGAAAAGAAAAGAATGAATAAGAATATAATACTGAAGATAAAATAAAGAAAAATGAATGTCTGAAGATAAAGGAAAGAAAAGAAAGAATGAATATGAATATAATACTGGTGGTGAATATAATACTAAATATTGTCAAGTATATAATACTGAAGATAAAGATAAAAAAAACCGGCTGATCTATTCTAAAGAACAGAAAAGAAAGAAAGAATGACTCTGAAAGAAAAGAATAAAAGAAAGAATGAATAAGAATATAATACTGAAAGAATGAATGAATAATATAATACGGGTTGTTACAGTTTTTTGAATATGAATATAATACTGAAGATAAAAAAAAGTTAATATGTAAAAAGGAAAGAAAGAAAGAATAATATAATACTGAATAAAGAAAAGAAAAGAAAAAAGAATGAATATGAATATAATACTGAAGATAAATGATATAATGGACTTAACTCCCTTTATAGTCCGACAATTCAGAATGTTAACCAATGATTCAGAAGACTAAATATTGTCGAGTCAGTAGTTCAAGTCTCACCATTCTGTTGAACTCTCTGCCTATAATACTGTGTAACGGGCCATTTCCTTTATAGTCCACCAATATTTTTTTCATTCGTTGTGTATAAAGGCGGCCATTTTATGTTTTATCGAATGACCAGTGCCAACTTGTCAGGCGAAGATGACAGAAAGTAAGTACTACGCTCTGCTACTTTGCTGCGATATCCCCTGCGAACCTGAAATGACCCTCAGGATCACTCTAACCCGTAGTGATAGTAACTGTTTTAATGGGTCCCAGTTATGGGTAAAATAACAATTTTTCCTCTTCTAATGACCCTCAAGATCACTCTGACCCGGAGTGATAGTAACTGTTTTAATGGGTCCGGGTTATGGATAAAATAACATTTTTTCACTTTTAATGACTCTCAGAATCACTCTGACCCGGAGTGATAGTAACTGTTTCAGTGGGTCCCAGCTATGGGTAAAGTAACAATTCTTTCCACTTTTTTGTTGTGATCACAACCTAAACTTATAATATTATTGCTAATGTTTTGATATGACTAATTTTTGTGGATATTAATTTTTTTTTTTTTAAAAAAAGAAAAAAAAAATTTTGGAAATAAAGTATTTATTGACTTTACTAATATTTTGAAGGAAGATTCCATAATATACCCAAAATAAGGTGGGGGTTACAGTTTTTTGTGTATACTGTGGAACTAGTGAGCCAATCAAAATGACTTAACTCCGTTTATAGTCCACCAATAGAATGTTAACCAATCAGAAGACGCAGAGCATTCAATTCGTCGTGTATAAAGGCGGCCATTTATGTTTTTTTCCACCCGAATGACCAGTGCCAACTTGTCAGGCGAAGATGAAAGAAAGGAAGTAGTACGCTCTGCTTCTTTGCTGCGATATCCACTGCGAACCTGAACTACGCTTTCCTACTGTCTCCGAAATATTCACTGCTAACCTCTGGATTCTATACTCGAAGACGACCGTCATGAATTTATAACACGGGCGGGGAGGAACCCGAAAGAGGCTACGCCGAAGGGCGGATTCTCTTTCGGGGAGGTAAACCGACCCTGAACCCGTTTATACGTGTTCAATGGGCATATTTTTGGCCAATCCCACGGGCTCGGAGATTCCACGTTAAACCGGCCTTGTGTCACATGATACCCTCGTGGGGGGGGGACTGAATATCGTCAGTCAGTAGTTCAAGTCGAGGCAGTAGTTCAAGTCGAGTCGAGTAGAGTCAGAGGCAGTCCGAAACAGAGTCGCGTTCAGACAATTACTGCAAGACATTGGAATAGTGATACTGGTCGAGACTACATTGATCTCTCTACTAAACCTGATTGTTCATACTAACACTTCTACTTTTCTGTATATATATATATTCCTGTTTGTAATATATCTGTGTTATTCCATACCTGTGTTCGAGTTTTTCTTTATTGGTTCTACCTTCGACTATCACCGTGGTACAAGGAACCGGACCATAAAAGAAAGAAAGAAAGAAAGAAAGAAAGAAAGTGAGTATAAAACTGAAGGTAAAATGAAAGAGGGAAAGAAAAAGGTGAATATAAAACTGGAGATAAATTAAAAGAAAGATGAAGTGAATGTAAAATAAAAGATAAGAAAAACAAACACATAAATAAATAAAAGAAAGTTTCATATAAAAGTGGACGTTGAATAAAAGAATCAAGGAACGAACGAAAGAAAAAGGATATCGAATTGAAAGTAAAATGAAAGAAAGAAAGACAATGAGTATAAAATTGAAGTTTAAATAAAAGAAAAAGAGAAAGAAAGAAACAGAATATAAAATAGAATGTAAAATAAAATACAAAAGTAACATATAAATGAAGATGGATATAAATTTTGTAGTAAATTAAATGAGGGCAAGACGAAAAATAACATAAAAAACACATGGAAAGACGAAGAGAATTAAAATGATAGATGTTGGATTAAGAAAGGCGGAAATTAATTTGATTCCATTTGATTCTTTTACAGCTTATCAATCCTTTATAGAACATTTAAATACGAAACATATTTTGATATGTGAATTTTTTCCGGATGAGTATTGCATTAATAAATGTTTGAGGCCAGCAATGATTTTTCCAGATAAAAATGCTATTATTTGATCCATAATAGATTCCTACTATTGTCAGTTCTAATTGCGTGAAAGGGAATCTACCGAAACCGACTGGATTCGCTCATGAACAGGCTCATTACAATTATCATTTTCAAGAATATTTTAATTTATCGTGTTCAGTATATAATTCAACGCGTTGAATATCGATTTACGCGTAAGTGATTGAAAGAAAGAAGAAAATAAACGAGTCAAATGAAGAAATTATTGAGAAGAAACAAACAAATAAATGAAAGTAATAACAGAATTTGGATGTCATAATCTGCATTCTATATGCGGAATGTTAAAATAAAGCAGGTGTTAATATTCAGTTATCATCGTAGCGCAGTAAAGAAATACATGATAAACTCGAAAACGCATGACCCCACCAACACATATCTTCCAAAAAATTAAGCCAAAAGATAGGCAGATTGTCGCTGCAAAATTATTGATAGGAAAATATCTCTAGAAACAAAGAAACAGGCGCTGGATTGTTAAAGAAATATATAACCTTCTACATGATGATGCTCTAACTCTTCAGAGATAAAGAAGAGACTTAAGTAACAGAAATGCGGTTTTTCCAAGGACGGATGAGAATATCACGTACATATAATGTAGACGACGAGGCAATTTTAACCAACTATAATGTATTCTTGTATTATGATCTCTATTTGCATTGATCGGAGTATCATCCTCATATTGGTTACCATATTTATCACAACGTTTCGGCCGTTGTACGCTCCGTCCTTCTTCAGGTTGTTGGAATGTCGAACTGAACCCATTATTTCGCTCGCTGAAATAGACTTTTCTGTTCTAATGGATGTCAGCTGTCAGCTGGGGTTAATTCTTTTCACCAATTCTCTGCCGCCTTAGACTGATATTGAATTCATACTCTTTGGTTCAAGTCACTGGATGTAACTAACGCCTTTGTCCACTGTGCCATGTGTCCTTGCGTACATCTGTGAATGGATATGGATGAGAGAACTAGGACAGAAAGGGTCATAATGTACCAAATGTTGCATAGAGTGGCAAAAGACAGAAATATCTGGAGAGATATAATCCTAAAAATTCACGACATATAAAAGAAAGTGGTGTATTGCCAAGTATATATAATCGAGGCAGTGAATGTTTAGAAAAAAATAATATTTAAATAATGATTCCTTTAATCGTTATACTTTATACATTTTTTTATTCATTTCATGCTAAGTAAGGACGAAATGCCACCAGTACGCACGTTATTACAGAGAATAAAAGTGAGTTAAAACACTGAGTGTTGGGAGGATTGAGGAAAAGACAAAAGACAGGCTCGATTCATGAATACAGAAGATAGCGATTAATGTTACATTCAATTTTTTAAAGATTTTATTGATCAGGGAAGCAAGTAAACAGAAGGCAGTTCCCCAGACGGGAAACACGAGAAAAGAAACTGCTGGAGTAAAAGCAGCGATTACATTTAGGTATTTCAGTAGTAAACGGGTGGGACCTAGATGGCAATCTAGTAGCACGCATCAATACATACAGTCGAGATACAAGGGACAAAAAACGTGTCAGAGGATTCGGCATGAAAATATTTGAAGAAAAGGCAGATTGAAACAATGCCACATCAGTGATAAAGTGATTTAAGTTGAGATGCTTCCATTACATTACAGATCCTTTGGATTTATATATTAATATTACTTTGCAATGGTAGTAATAACATAATTCTCTATTTCTCTCTGAATTTCAACTGAACGGATTCTTTTTATAACTAGCATAGTTATAAATACGATCCAAGAGCTCTTCGTAATTAAAGATAAATAAATAAAGATAAATTTATCATGGCTTCAATAGAACTAAACAAAGAGACACCATATATTCAGTCAGGCTTGAAAAGCAGCAAATTCAGCAGAAAGCCGATTAATTTCAAAGGCCCAAATAATACACCAAGGATTATCCCAGGAGCAATAGCCTAGTGAGGAAACATAGTACATATTAATTATGAATACATTTACCTGACACAGGTTTGGCGCTGTGAATGGCATCCTTTTTAATATTGCATTAACCGATTTTTCTACTAGAACTGAAACTATACTGAATAAGATGCCCATAACGCCAAAGATGGTATTGGACATCATTCCATAAGGCTAGTGGTGGGGCAGCATACCGTCCATTGTCCTGAAAAAATGTATTCCTGAATTGGCTCCTGTCCTCTCTAAACTTTACAACTACTGACTCTTGCTTTCCAACCTGTTGAAAGTCCTCATCTGTTGTGCCTGTCTTTAAAAGTTTCGTAACAAGGGTTAGGCCGATCTAACTACCGTCCCATCGGTCTCCTACAAGTGTTCGGTAAAGTCTTCGAGTCTTTAATCAACGCCGAAGTGGTTAAGCACCTTACTTCACATAATCCACTGTCTCACAATCAATATGGTTTCCGCTTTGCCCGATCTACTGCTGACGTGCTCACGGCCATAACTGAATTTGTATACCAAGCACTTCAAAATAACGAATAAGATCGAGGCGTGGCTCAAGATATCTCTAAAGCGTTTGATAGGGCATGGCATGGCGGCCTTCTTCGTAAGCTTCAGGATACGATGTTACATGACGATTATTTGACTTAATACAATCATTCCTGTCAATATATAAATATTGACCTAAATGGGTTCAACTCCATCTCCTTTATCATCAACGCGGGTGTTCCCCAAAGCTCTATCTCGGGCCTTCTACTGCTCCTGTTCTTCACTAATGACCTTCCCAATGTCAGCAGTTACCAAGTAGGCATCTACGCGAACGACATTACTATTTACTCCTGCCTCAATAGTAATCTGGTATCTTTGGAAAAACCAACCTGGCCGCTGATCTCGAAAAAGAGCTCCAATCTGTGGTTGTCTTAGACAGGAAACGGCTTGTAAACTTTACTGCCTCCAATACGAAACTGCTTTCCTTTACCCACTACTGAGAACTTTCCACCCCTCCCATCAAAATGACTGATTCCAACTGACATAAGATGGAATAAATACATTGAATGAATAGCTTCATCTACCACAAAGAAAATTGATTCTATGTCTCGTTCCCGAATGTCTTTCTCGTCTGAGTCCGTCCTTGAAATCTATAAACCAACCATCCGTCCTTGCATGGAATATTGCTGTCAGATATGGTCTAGTGCATCCCGCTGTACGTCTTGAGGTCCTCGACAAAATCCAGAGACGAATAGGCAAATTGTTAGGTCCTGATCTGTTATCTCGTCTGCAGCCGCTTTCTCACAAATGTGGCGTGGCTTCCGTCTGTCTCTTCTATAATATTTTCACGGCAATAGTCCCGACGAGCTATTTTCACTGGTTTCCATACTGTATGAATTTAAGCGAACAACTAGGCTGCAATCCCGGTCCCACTGTCGAAACAGTTATATGTAACCGTCTCTTTTACTCAGACAGCGTCCTCTCTCGCACTTCCCGTTTGTGGAACTCCCTTCCTCTTGATTGCTTCCCTTCAAATATTCAAATGTAATGTCAAGCGCCATCTGACACCCTGAGCTTGTTCCCAGTTCTTCTCTATATATTTTTTTCCTCAAACACGCCTCTTTACTCTTATTGTCAGTCCTCAGTAACCAATTACGTGCTTGTGGAACTCTCACATTGCTTGGGGCGTATTGTTTAAATAAAGAAATAAAAGGGTAGTTTCTAGAGCTTTAGAATTAGCCACCCATTTAAATAAATACACTGAAAGTTGTTAAATCTACCGGAAACCTGTTCTGCATGTTTCTGAAGAAGATAATGTTATTCACAGATAATAAATTAAATATATCTGCTGGGTATCATGAATCCGTATGTCCTGAAGTAATTCAATCTTACATGGATATCTACGTCACTTATATATTAGTAAGTAGCAGAGAAGTCTGTGCTCATTGTCTTTCTAATTATGAGTTGTTTTTTTTCATTCCCCATTGTCTTAAACGTTCGCAGTTACTCGTATATTCGGTCTATAGCATTTTCAACTTTCTCCTGTAGAACCACATTTTGTTGCTGCTTCACTGTCAGATATATCGAATGATATTACGTAACAGTCCAATACTCTTTTATTCGCTTCTAAGGAAATTTTCTTTCATAATTATTCGCTTAGATTTTGGAAGACAACTTTCGCTCTCTCAGTGTGTCTTCAGATTTCGTTGTTGTAATGTTCATCTTCTGTTAAAAGCCTTGTCAGATATTTAATGTTCTTATTACCAATGCGTAATATGTATGTTTTGATGTTCCTTCTGTTGATAAACGCATCTTTAAAAAGAATTTGATTTAAAATTTACGTATAATTTTAAACCACGTGTACTATCAGTGAAAACAATCATTTTTTTTATATTGACTTGAAATGAATTAAGACAAATGTAATTGAAACCCTTTATATTGGAAAGTAATTCGTGCTAAAAGAAACATATAGGGATTAAATCAGCTGCATACAGGTTACAGTAAATCCGAATGTTATTAAAAAAACAAAACAAAGGTTAACAAGAAACTGATTAAATATTTTACAAAATTCAATAATGCAATATTATTGACTTGAACTGCAAACCCCTCGTCCTCGAGACATCGTCTTGAAAACGTCTGTACATAGCAAAGACATCGAAGCAAACCTTGCTTTTATCAAAATGAATCAAATATTTCAATCGCGTCCGATCAAATTCCGTTGTCTTATTTGCTTTTGTTGCAATTACTTAATCGTATCATATTCTATTATTTTTCTTTGTCTTTCATCCACAA